AGTCTCTCTTTAAAAGGGCTATTCCCCCTCTCTGAAGAGAGTCCTGTGAATCTACAGCTACATCGAGCAATACAAACATCTAGACTACACTCAATTGCATAATCCTTGTCAATAAGAACCCCAAACAGGGTGGGCGGAACAAAGGTCACCCTACTTCAACAACCAACTGCGATTAGAACGTTCACCCGTTCAGTTGCCGATGGCCCGCAATGGCTACGACAAGCCTTTCAGCCACTGAACCTGAAGAATTCATTCCTTCAATCAGCTGCAGCAAGCGCTTCCCCTGTCAGGGATATTTTAATAACTAGCTAAAGTCCAGTCATATGGCAAGATGTAATAAATACATTGAATGTCTGATGCAGTTATTCTGCATGTTAAGTTAATTTTATATTTCAGGGCCATTTGTTTTGTACCTCTCAATCTATATACCAGTTTTAGAGATGCTATTCCTCGCTAATAGTAACTGTAACATAATCAAATGCCATTTGAAAGTAGTGAAAGGAGGGAAACCAAAGACTGCTAATCCCTACCTGACATCACTAATAGCTTTGATAAGGAGAGTTGCATAAAAACAAACAACGTTTGCAGTACGAAACCTCGATGGCCTTCTGGTCATGGCAGCTTGTAACTAGTTAATAAATTAACAGGGAGAAAGGGGCATATCTGACATCTGCAGATCTTAATTTTTCAAATGGCATCTCGCACATCCAGCTCATTCCAAGAGGAAAAGCTAGCCACATGGATAACAAAGAGAATATTAAAAAGCAGAGCTCAGTATAATAACCCTCCCCATTATATTTCACCTCTCCATGTCCCTTCAGCTGAGTTCATAGTCTAGTTAATTAGAGGCCTGCTCCACTGCATGCAATACCTGCACACAAGAGCAGAATAAAATGCCGATTTCTCTCTTCAGGGTACCAGGAAATGCTGTTTTTGACACTCTTCCTCAAGCCCTATCATGGATGACACTATACAAAAAGTAGTATGCAGTACAACACTAATGTTTCTTTTGTGTCCTCTAAGAGCCTAGTGAGGAAGCCTTGCTTTGCCACACTGACAAGAGCCCCAGAACACCAAGCAGTGACCAGAAAATGAAGCACTCTCTCCTCAGGCCCTATGCTACCAGCACTCCCAGCTATCTTCGAGACACCACTGACCTCCTGAGGAAACTACAATCCATCGGTGACCACCCTGGCCACTATGGATGTAGAAGCCTTCTACACCAATATTCCACACAAAGATGGACTACAAGCTATCAGGAACAGTATCCCTGATAATGTCACAGCTAACCTGGTGGCTGAACTTTGTGACTTTGTCCTCACCCACAACTATCTCACATTTGGGGACAATATATACCTTCAAGTCAGCGGCACTGCTATGGGTACCCGCATGGCCCCACAGCATACCAACATTTTTATGGCTGACTTAGAACAACGCTTCCTTAACTCTCGTCCCCTAACGCCCCTATTCTACTTGCGCTACATTGATGACATCATCATCTGGACCCATGGAAAAGAAGCCCTTGAGGAATTCCACCATGATTTAAAATAAATTTCCATCCCACCATCAACCTCAGCCTAGATCAATCCACACAAGCGGTCCATTTCCTGGACAGTACTGTGCTAATAAGAGATGGTCACATAAATACCACCCTATACTGGAAACCTACTGACCGCTATACTTACCTACATGCCTCCAGCTTCCATCCAGGATACACCACACGATCCATTATCTACAGCCAAGCTCTAAGATACAACCGCATTTGATCCAATCCCTCAGACAGGGACAAGCAACTACAAGATCTCTATCTTAAAACTACAATACCCGCCTGCTGAAGTGAAAAAACAGATTGACAGAGCCAGACGGGTACCCAGAAGTCACCTCCTACAAGACAGGCCCAACAAAGAAAATAACAGAACACCACTAGCTGTCACCTTCAGCCCCCAACTAAAACCTCTCCAGAGCATCAAAGATCTACAACCTATCCTGAAAGATGATCCCTCACTCTCACAGATCTTGGGAAGACAAACCTGTCCTCGCTTACAGACAACCCCCAAATCTGAAGCAAATACTCACCAGCAACCACACATCACTGAACAAAAACACTGACCCAGGAACCTATCCTTGTAACAAAGCCCGATGCCAACTCTGTCCATATATCTATTCAAGTGACATCATCATAGGACCTAATCACATCAGCCATGCCATCAGGGGCTCGTTCACCTGCACATCTACCAATGTTATATATGCCATCATGTGCCAGCATGGCCCTCTGCCATGTACATTGGCCAAACCGGACAGTCTCTACGCAAAAGAATTAATGGACACAAATCTGACATCAGGAATCATAATACTCAAAAACCAGTGGGAGAACACTTTAACCTGTCTGGCCATTCAATGACAGACCTGCGGGTGGCTATTTTACAACAGAAAAGCTTCAAAAACAGACTCCAATGAGAGACTGCTGAGCTGGAATTGATGTACAAACTAGATACAATCAACTTAGGCTTGAATAAGGACTGAGAATGGCTGAGTCATTACAAACATTGAATCCATCTCCCCTTGTAAGTATTCTCACACTTCTTATCAAACTGTCTGTACTGGGCTATCTTGATCACCACTTCAAAAGTTTTTTTTCCCTCTTACTTAATTGGCCTCTCAGAGTTGGTAAGACAACTCCCACCTGTTCATGCTCTCTGTATGTGTGTATATATCTCTCCTCAATATATGTTCCATTCTATGCATCCGAAGAAGTGGGCTGTAGCCCACGAAAGCTTATGCTCTAATAAATTTGTTAGTCTCTAAGGTGCTACAAGTACTCCTGTTCTTTTTGCGGATACAGACTAACACGGCTACTACTCTGAAACCAGAAAATGAAGATCCCTTGAGAGCAGTGATTTCCCCTCCCAAGGTCTGAGTGTGCTGCCTCTTAACTACTTTGAGTCCAAGCTTCTGGTGCTCCAGGATGATCAGGTGCCCAGCTCAGTGACCCCCCACTTGGCAGCACAAAATGCCCATCATTAGATCAGCATACACTTTTATTTTGAGTGACAATCTGAAGAATTTTAGACTCTTGAAAGAGATCTGGTTACACCTCATATTCTTACTACGTGTCTATTTCCTAAGAGGAGGTGTTCTCTAGTGAAATCACAGAACAGGGACCTCCCAGTTTCTTAGCCTGACTCACTGTCTATTGGGCAATTCATTTACCCTATCTGCCTCAGTTTCCTTACCATTTACATGTATAGTTAACAGGACTCAACCTTTTTTTAAAGTCACTTCTGTCTAGGGTGACCAGACATCCTGTTTTTAAAGGGACAGTCCTGTATTTAAGCCCTCCCGCAGGTGTCCCGACTTTTTCTTAAAAATGGGAAAATTCTGTCTCTCCCCCCACCCGCAATCAGGACTGGTGGGTCCTGCTCCTGCTCAGATCCCTACTCACCAGCCGCCCACCCACCAGTGATGGGGGGAAGGGAGGGTCCAGTGACGGACAATGGGGGTGGGCGTGCAAGGCTAGTGGCAGGGCGAAGATGCAGCGCACAGGGATGGCCGCTCCCCCTGCTGGTCCTTCAGCACAGCCCTCACTGTGTACCGGCTCTTGGCCAGCAGGGTCCTACCCCCCCCGACCCATTTCCGGCTGGCACTGGCTGCGCGCTGTGAACTGCAGTGGCTGGTGAGTGCTGGCAGGTACCAGGTGGTGGCTGGTTACGTGTCGCCACAGCTGCCCATCCACTGGCCCTATATGGGCTCCCCCTCTTGCTGTCCTCTCCCTGCTTTGCCCCTTCGCCCGCTCTCCCCCAGTCCCACTGCTTCTCCATATCCCCCTCCAGCTGGGCCTGTTCCACTCCCATTGCTCGTATTGGTGAACCAGCCCCTGGTCGGAGCTCTGAGCTCACCAACAGCCTGGCCAGCAGGTTCCTTCCTTCCCCCACTGCCTCTGGCTAGGCTGGTGCCCTGGGAAAGTCCAAAATGCTCTTCCCGGGCACTGGCCAGGAGGAGTCAAGCCCTGCGTGTGACAAAGCCCCACACAGCGCTGGCACGGGGACGCCTCTCCACCCCTCACCCCCTGTCCTGGGGGGGAAGGAGGGGAGGAGAAGAGAGAGAAGCAATTTCCAGCTTGTTCATGCTCTGAACCTTCAGGCTCCACAGCAGCCCTCCAGCAAGGAGCTTGGCACTCTTGTCACACACACCCCTGTCCTGGCTCCTGCCCTCAAGGAACACTAGGCTGCTCCGTCCCCTAGGCACCCTTCCCTGCTGAGCCACCTCTCTGGCCAGGTTCGCTGAAGCCTCTGCAGTCAGGTTCCCTGGGCCCTGGTGCACAATGCATCCTTAGGGCTTAACCCCTTCCTGCCCGTGCTGTAGCCAGAGGCGGCTGGGTTATGTTGGTGGCCAGCAGCAGCCTGGAGGTGTTAGCCGCCTTTCTACACTGTGTGGGAAGGAAGGAACAAGCTCCTTCCGGGGGGGGGGGGGGGGGGGGAGGAGGAGGAGAAA